TCGTCGTCGGGCTCCGACAAGGAAGACAATGGGAAGCCCCCGTCTTCCGCCCCGTCCCGGCCCAGACCCCCGCGGAGGAAGCGGCGAGAGTCCACCTCGGCCGAAGAGGACATCATTGATGGATTTGCCATGACCAGCTTTGTCACTTTTGAAGCGCTGGAGGTAAGGGGGACCCCCCTCGTCTCCTCCCCACCACCCCCCATTTCCCTTTATGCACGACCCCACTTGGCTGCGCCCTGCTCTGCTGCCTCCCTCCGCCGAGGTCGGTCTGGGCTGGCTGGCTGGCTGTCTGGGCTGAGGTCTCATTGTTGGGGGGAGCTAAGGGGCGCGGGCAGGCGGGCAGCAGACAGGCAGGAGGGGTTCGGCCAGTGGAGCCTGGGCTCCTCATTGCCCTCGTCCTCGCCAGCCTTTCACCCGCGCCCCCTCCCCAGCAGATGGGCAGAAAGGGGTGCAGGCATCGCCACAATACACCCCCTCCCCGGATCTCACTGCCCTACTCCTTCCTCCACTCCCTCCCCAATCATGGCTTCTTGGCTGGTGGAGTCTCTGCTGCCGGGTTTGGGGCGCTGGTGGATGGGGCTCCGTGGACTTGCCACAGAGCCATATGCCCGTGTGTGCGGTCGTGTGGGTTCCGGGTCGTGTATACCTTTCAGGGTGTCGTGGAGACCAGAAAGAGGGGGTTTTGTGGGCGCTTTACCCGCTCTTTCCCTGCCCTTTTTTTTTTTTTTTTTGGTGAAGCTGGGGAAGGGGGCGTTTTCTCCTGGTTGGCAGAAAGGAGGGAGGAGGGGAGAGAAGGCAAGGATGGAACAGCTTTCTGTTTTCTGGAAGGGCTTGCCTGCAGAAAGGGTTAATCAGAATCTCCCGTGGACACCGTCCTCTGCACATGTGTACCTGTGTGTACACGAGTGATGTAGTTAGAGGACAGACAGAGGGACACGGTGGTTTACTGGTGGGAGGGAAGACGAGAATCCTAGCTAGTGTCTGAAGGGCTTGCCACGCAATGGTCCCTCTCCCTTGCCTTTTTTGCGTGTGTTCTATCCGCTTTCAAAGTGACTGCCTTTGTGTGTGTGTGTGTGTGTGTGTCCGTGTGTGCCTTTCTTTATTCCCTGAGCACCTGCAGTACTTTTGCCCCTGGGCTAGCCACCTCCTGGAAAGGGGGGGGGGGCAGTCGGGGGCTAAAGGGCACTGCCCAGGGGTCAAGGGGAGGCTGACTTTGCTCTAGACTGAACTGACTCTGCTGGGACTGGCCACTGGCCTCTACATGTCACCGCCTCCCCCTACCTCCCTATCCCTGCTCCACACCCCCAAACACACGCGCGGTGCATATACACACACACACACATACACACACGCATGGTTTTGAGCTACTGCAAAGTTGGGGCGGCTCTCTTAAGGACAAAACCACGCCAGGACTGGGCTTGTAGGCTTTGATGCACCTGCCACGATGGGGTGAGGTTCTGAGTAAACTTTTTCTTTTTTCCTTCGTTTTTTTCCTTTCTGGGATGAGGACACTGCTTCGGATGCTTTCGGGCAGCCTTGTTAATAACACCTGATGTCTCCCATACGGCCTCGGCACAGCCTCCCCGGGCACCTCTGTGCTCAGCAGGCGCCCGGGGGTCCTGGTTGAAGGATCTTTAGAATGGACGGCTTCCTGACACTTTCCCCTCGGGGCACTGGTTTTGGACAGTGGTGGATGATGGCCAGGGACTGAGGAGGACCAGGGGCAGTGCTGGTGGGATTGGTGGCCACCATGAATTCGGATGTTGGCGCCGGAACAGATGCTTCCTGGGCTAAAATGGATCTTGCCCAATGGCGTTGAGTGTTTTTGAATTCCAGCCTCGTTTTAGGATAGTGCTAAGTGGGGCATTACCTTTGCCGAGGTTGGGGGGGCAGGTCAGGTGTTTTTTGTACAATGTGACTTACCTCTCTCTTCTCTCTTTAAGAGGAGAATTGAAACGCAGCTTCCATCCTAGTAGAAAATGCTGCTCTGGGTTTGGTTTATCACTGCTGACTGGTTGGTTTTAAGACAGTCCCGGTAAGAGCTGGTTACAAGTGGCTGGGCTTTCTTCATGGCTACCCTGCTGGCTCTTCTCTCCTGGTGTTGGGCAAGAGGGCTGAGCAGAGGTCCCCAGGGCATTTTGGGAGGCCAAGGAGAGACAGGTGTAACGTCTGCAGATGTTTTGATTGTTTTATTTTTCATAAGTTGATGTTTGGCATTGCGACTGTGTGTGTGTGTTGCACGTGTATCAACATTTGTGTATGTGTGTATATACACACACCCATGCATATGTATGTGCATACACATACATTTATCTACCACCACAGGTGATATATAATCTCCACTTGGCTTTGGAGTGAAATTTTTGCCAATTCCTGTTATTAATTTTGAGAGGAGACAAAGTTCAGAGTGTGCTATTAATACTGCTCTTTTGCTTGCTGCAAGTTTTCCCTCTCTACTGCTTTCTCTAGATTCAAAAGCCCAGATTCAAGTGCTTATCTGAATGCCACTGCACTGTCACATACGTAAATATCACAGATTTCTCCGTGTGGGTCTCAAAGGTCAAACTCTTTAAGAAAGTTTACTTAAAACTTGCTCTTGAGAGTGGGGCGGACAGCAGAATAAGTCCCAGTGGGAACCAGCCTCCCTGCACTCCCAGCCCAGACTTACCATTTACCAACTCCTATTCCAGTGTCTGAGCTGGAATTCGCTCATTGGCAATTCTCTCATTGGCAACTGTTTCTGTCTGTACCTCTAGCTGATAGAGGCTCAAAACCCCAAAGCTTCAAAGCCTGCGATCTCATCATCGTGTCCACATAGATTAGCAGCAGGGTCCTAATCCAGTGTTTCCTGTCCACATTTTAAGAATCCCAGCTGCAGTTTATAAATACACAATGGGGTGTAAACACCATCATGCTTAGCTGCTTGTTTGGAACAAGGTCCACGTGTGAGCTGCTGCTTGTGACATTTACAGCTCTTGGTGGATGCTCAGAATTCACACTGTGC